AGTTAGTGAACTATCTCCGTTAAAGTTGATGGGGTTCTATCTCACCCATTCTCTGTGAACACTGATGTCCTCTAGGGTTCAGTACCTGCTTGCCATGCCCAAACCAACATCGATGGAGACCGTAGTGCAGGCGGTGTCACTGTACTTCGATCTCGAACATATTGTGATGGAAGGCAGTACAAAGAGAGTCCTGGTAAGCGACCGAATCAAGAATGGGACCCATCCGAATAGACGAGCAGACGCAGCGGCGGGAAGTGCCTCGCGAGACAATGTTGACTGCTACTCGAAACGAGCGAATCGACAATTACAGCCCGACACACAGTCCGCAGCTAACGGGAAAGATACACACCGAATGCCACAACGTCGAGGCTGTCGATCAACGCATCTCGCGCCGCGATCGGGTCAAACCAGTCGGAATGGCACGCGGAAGAAGAGGCAACGTACACACTGCGATCGGGTCAAACCAGTCGGAATGGCACGCGGAAGAAGAGGCAACGTACGTGCCAAGTGCGGACCAAAACCAACAAGGAATGACCCGCAGAAAGAGGCAGAAATCATCCGGCCGCACGGTTGAGAATTGACTGTATATAATCGAACGCATACACGGATTTTGAATTGGATCGATAGACTTTTTTCCCAGTCAGCTCGTCTTCTCGCTACAATATCTCTTCCTGGGAAATTGCAAATCATGCTTCATTCAGTAGTTCTAAAACCTCTCTCCTTCCAATTTCTTTAAAACACCATTCGTTCTCCGCCCAGTTATCATTTGATTCCACTCACCTGCGTTCCACAGACTCTGTTTCCCTTCTTGGATTGCCTATAGCTTCTCCTTCATGCTGGTCCCCTTTTATAACCAATCTTGCTTCTCGTGCTGCGCACGAGATTGGATTTCTATTTAGCGCCGGAGTTTTTCACCCTAGATCATCTTTTCTATTGTACAAACCTCAAATCCGCCCTGCTTTGAATACTGTAGTCACGTGTGGGGTGAGGGTTCGTCCTCTTCCCTTTCCGTTCTTAATTGTGTTCAACGAAAGGCCATCCGGCTAATCGATGATCCTTCCCTAACATCCAGTCTACAGTCGCTAACCCATCGTCGGGCATTTGCTTCATTGTCCCTGTTCTACCGCTACTACTTTGATTTTTGTTCTTCGGAACCTACCTCAGCAGTTCTCTTTCCTGCAACTCTTACCCGCCCATCCCGTACAGAGGCATCTGGTCATTCTTATCAGGTTTCTGTTCCCACATGTCGTACCTCTCTACTCCAATCTTCTTTTTTCCTCGAACTGCCACACTTTGGCACACCCTCCCCCTGGTTGTTTTTCCCTCAACTTACAATTTTATAGTTTTCAAACGCAGAATCAATAAACTGGTTCTTATGTGAATGTTCTCCTACTCTTCCCTTTAATGTATGCCATTTGTTTATGGGGATTTCCCCGTTAACTGTAATTCACATTGTGTATTAAATAAGAATAAATCCTTCATTTAGTAGCTTGATCAACAAATAGGAATACTGAACTGAGATTGTAAATTTGTGTGACGGGAACATTTGGTTTGATGTGGTGATGTTTTTGCTAGTAATAGTCTTCTGTTTGGAGATTTCATACACGACTCGGAGTACAAAATGGTTATTCTTAGAAATTTATAAAAGTGATTCAGTTTGAATAACGAATAACAAGTAGATTTATAACAGATTGAATTTTTTGTATTATCCGTCAACTGCGACGGGATCATAAAGAAAGATAGATGAAAATAAATCATAAATAAAATAGCTAAACGATGCGCCATTCAATGTTTCAGGCTCGCCATCAGAGGATTATTAAGCCCTGTAGTTGTGTGGTTTAATGAAAGGTATGACTCACTAAATAATCTAAGAAAGAACTTCAAACCACTTACGTCCTATGGTGCGTTCTGTCCCAGATGGCAGAATCGATAAGCTGTAATTAATATTCGAATAGAGTTGCTCAGCTTCCAATACTGGCCGAGCCCGTTAGTGAATGGCAAACGAATAAGGCCACTCAGGCTAAAACTTGGGATGAGGATATGATTACCTTGATCGGGGTGACCTGTAGCGTGGGTCGTGTCAGAGATATTTTGATGTTTGTATGAACGACCTTACTGTGTAAATGGTTTGCAAATTTTGTTGCTATCGTGCGCCATTTATCAGTCAAGTTACATACACTTTACTTCTTAGTTTATTCGGGTAAATATATGCATATGAAGAATAATGAGATTGCCAATTATCGACCATTTTTCTACTGTACACCAACGACACTTTAAAAGCCATTTAATTTATGTTTACCCAGCGCAGAATGACCAAAATCCTCAAACAAAACCAAAATCTAGTAACCAAACACATACGTCTAGTAATTTTCCGTTGTTTGCGTTCGGAGAAGAATTGATATGTTCCGGGCAACATCTTTTGCAATTCATTTGCTTCATTCTGAAAGGAAAAAAAACTTTTGAAGAACAAATACCAATCAATGTTTTTGGGAGAAAATCATCTCCTCTTGTGTCAAAATTTATTTGTAAAATTTCTACGGTCCATTAGCACTCGGTATAGACTAGTGATCAAACACCATACGTGTAAAACATCCACATCCGTATAATCGATGCTTCATCTGATTATGTAATCAATGGATTTCAAATATTATTGTATTACATTATATGTATTATATTAAACATCATATATATCATATATCATAATATTATATATTGTCATAGCTTTTGCTCAAAACACCATAGGGAGTATTCTCTGCGGAAAAACTGAAAAGCTCATTCTGAAGCTGGTTATCGTTTTTTATATTTTATCTTTTATTACGCGCCGTTACTGTGGCATTGTTTGAAATGAACAAAAGATTGATAGGGCGGCTGGAACTACCAGTTATCAAATACCGGGGCACCGACACAAAGAACAATGTGTTGGAAAAAACCTTAGGTGTAAAGATAAGCCAAAGTGGATTAATAGGAAATACTATAGCAACATTTTGATATTTACAGATGTTTATGTGTGTCACTTGTTGAACAGCCTTACATCATAACCTGCCGTTCTCTAGGTGCTCCTTGACTAAACTTCCACTTTCAGTGTTCACACTTTCTTCCGTTATACCCGAGTTTAAAAGAGAACTACCATTAATGAAGTTAGTATTTGTTTCGATTAATCATATACAAAGCAAAACAGAATGGATTTACCAGTGGCGCTTAATATTCCTGAACTTTGACTCTTCGTGAAAGTTCCACCCATCACTTTATTTCACAATAGAGAAATCAGGCACCAAATTAATTACAAAAGCGACAGGATTACCCAATGGAATCTTTTATAAACACAATTTCATTACTACTTTTATTGCTGTGTAATTGTTCAAAGCACGTTCACAAATAGGAGATAAATATTTTAAAATACTCACACGTAAATAGGTTCGAAGAAAGCAAACAAATAATCAGAAAATCGATAAGACGGTTGTTCTGAGGTTCACAGTAGGTCGCAATNTCACCTCATCTACATCAATGTTTTTCAGTTAATCACTTTAAACAGCAAAATAGGTGTTTTCTCCAATTAAGATGTGTATGCATAAATGCACGAAGGTGATAAGCAGTAGAAATTCCAAATGACAAAGGAAAAGAGAAAGTGGAAGCGTGCAGCTTGTGACTATAAATTATGAGTACACTGTTTATGTGGTTAATCCACAGTGTGTACTGTTGGTCATGTTGATATAAATCCAGAAGGCGGTGCTGGTCGAGGATTTGCAGAAATCGCGCAAACAAAAAGGATATGTAATGTAACGGTCCACTAACAGATGCGCATTATTGTGTTCAACGTAACAAACAATAACAGTTTGCTCCAACAGGTTTTGTCCATTTTTGGTCGTTAAAATAAAGCGCTGATCGAATCTTTTTACGTACTGCTCACAAGTGAGTATTGTCTCACAACAGAGTGTTCAAAGGACACTAACAAACTAGTGACAACCCAGTATCTTCGCGAAGTTTCTTGCTCACAAATTTGGATACGTAGTCATAAAGGAGATTATTCGTTTTTTTAAATTTCATTCCGCATTCGGGCAATCATGAAAAAAACAAAAACTTCCTACACAATTGAATTACATCCACTGGTCAAGTGGCCCAGAAGAAAAATGGTTTGTAAATGACAATTTAGCTCGAATGACTTCTTGCGAATTGATGATAAAAATACACGTGGAACGATGCACAAACAACTAAAACAATTGGGTAATTTTTCCTAATATTGAACCAACAGAAAATCATCCATGTCGATCGATCAAGTAAACAGAGCAGTTTTATCTATTATAATATGAACTAAAAGTGACCTTACATGTTAACTCAGGAGCTCAAACGCCGAGATTACTCCGACAATTCCCTGATGGAAATACAAACTTAAAACGTTTGTGGAGAGGGAAAATGAAACGAATACTGATCTCAGTGATTTCTTTTCTGTATCCTGTTTGAGAAAATCTAGAGGTTTTATTGGTGTATTATATCGTTGCACTGGATTTGTGTCCACAAAGCAAAGAAAACAAAGCACTTTTGTCTTGTGATTCTGCGGGCGTTTCGTGACTTCAAGCATTCATAGAAAAGGATGTAAAAGTAAGGTGCTCCGAATAATAGATTATTTGCTTAAAATAATCTCAAGATAGATGAAAAAAGGTATCATGGACTATTAACGGTCAAAACGGAATCAATACAAGCCGCAGATTATTTGAAATCACTGGCTTAAAAGTTTTTTCAACCCAAATATTTTCTAACAATTTTCAAACAGTTAAACGAAAGGCTTGTTGTTAAAGTTTTACTAGTGCAAGTGACGTCGAAAGGAGTTAAGCTGAAATAATTAGACAGTTTAGGTGGAATTCTATTCACTTCAAGTTTTTTGATTCCGGAAACATCTCTTATTCAATAGAAAGACTATTCTACGTATGACCCTGACATTGAATTTTAAATTGAATATTAGGCTTTTTTAGATACATTTTCCTATAGCTATACATTTTTATTTTTTACCTGTTAATTGAGTACCACGATGATAGCTGATAAATGCCCTTGTTTGTTTGCTATTTCAAAGACAATTTGAAGAACTCATCATGGAATATTCAAAATTTACAACACGGTTAGTGTGCCCGGTAAGGATGGCACCACGTAGACACGTATCTGTATTCTACTGGAAGGCTCACAAAAAAAGTGTTTCAAAACCTACCGAATATCGGGTTTCCTCATGCTGATCCCGACTGTTGCGTTATTCATCTTGTGCTTTCAACTAGTGAATACCCAAACACACCTTTTGGATGAAATAATTACGAAAATGGGTACACGTCGTTACAGAACAGTCGATGGAAAATTGACTTAGAAAGTTCAAGATGCTCACCGGAGTAGATCTTGTGATTCAGGCCTCAATTTTTCCGCGTCCAATTTTGCAGCATGAAGCTGCAGAAGCAAATGATCGATCTGTTTGCGATACTCATTCTCGACTTCCACCATCTGTCTGGTGTTCTGGTCTATCAATGATTGAGTTTTTCGCTCGAACGCATCAGCCAACTTCTCGCGCGTTTCTTCCCGAACGCGCGAACATTCGCGAGCGACAGTCTCTGCCCACTTCCGGTCTAATTGTGCGGTTAAGTCAGTGAACGTGGAACTCTTCTCCAGCTGCGAAAAGCATACATAGAAAAAAGCATTAAAATATCAATATAGAACAAGCGGGTGAAAAACTCCAAAGCCATCAGCATGCTTTTTGATTGATCATTGGTTTACTGATCAAAGCTTAAAGTCAGTGGCGGAGAAGAAGAGCACTCATTGTACATGTGTGATTGAGATTCGCAAGCTAAATAGTAATAAATCGAGTAAAAATTGTTCTACTTTGTGCGTAACATGCTAACAAAGCAGTGCATTATAAGCGTTTGCTAGGATTGGGAACGGTCGGAATGTGTTGTTCATCAGTTCCATCAAACACAATGGCAATCCTCTGGCTATTTTCAGAAAATTTGACGCCTAAATTTAAAGAAAATAAAAGGGCAAAATGAACGGCACTTAGTTACAATACCATTTACTGGAGATATCAGCTGGAGTGTGGCAGTGGAACTAAATAAAAACCTTCATGCTGTCCAAAATAGAGAATAGGAATTCGGGGTTTATACCATACTAGCGAATTGGACAAAGCGAATAATTTGCACAAAGATAAACATTCACCCGGATTCGTTTTTCCAGTGCCTCGCACTTTTCCTGTTCTTGTGTAAGCGTGTTCTTCAGGTCGGACACACGAACCTCCAGTAATGTCAGTTGAGAGTTTTGATCACTCAACTGTCCACACAGTCCAAGTCTCTCTTTGTCCCATGTTTTCATAGCGTCACTATGATCCGTTTTATGACGAGAAATCTTCAACGAGACAGAAAAATGAAAACATTGAGGGCGGGGGAAAAGTTGCTACACATAAAAGGTAAAATAGTTAAATACCATTGATAATGCAGAATATACAACAGTACATCAGCGGATTCTAATAAAAATCCTACTCCGGTATTTGTGGATTTTGCCGCTCACCCAGCTCAAGTATTCAGTACTCCTGTGTGGTGTAGTTCTCCTTTGGAATTACCCCAAGAACTTTTTATTTCCAAACAAAAAAACTTTTATTGAACAACATGAAAAAAATGTTTAACTTTGGTGTTTTGGATGTTGGTATTCTGTTTCCCTCAAAATCATTCTCAAATGCATCAGAATCTCAGTTTTTATTTCATCGTTGTCCTTGAAACGTTCCTTTCACACTGATGCATATATCTGAGAATTATGCCTACACAAGATAGTCTTAGGTACGTACCACAGTAACAACCTAGTACTTGGTTTATCGGTGTCACAATCAACTAGCTCAGAGAAGCTACCAAAAAGCTAGTTCGATGAATATCCGAACTTTTCCACCTCAAAATGAATTTCCAAAGTAGCAACGCGAGAGGTCAGCAGCATATATCACATTTTAAAGCAAGTATGCATACAGGAGTGATAAACTGCATGCATATCAACTGTCCATATCAATTCTAATGACAGTTGCAAGCTTAAATCTTAAGGTATTGTTAAAAGTAGGACGTTTTATCTTCGTAGTGCTAGAATAAAAGTCTTACACTGACATAAAAAGTATCAACTAAAATATTCTGTGAGAACCACGCCCTAAATTTCTTGGATTTGTATACACCACTTTGTCGGTGATTTTGAAATCTTTCCGAAAAATTCGTCAAAGCTTTTTCCGCATGTTTTGAACAAGAGAGCTTAACATGTACTGGCGGTACCAGTACCGACGATGCAATTTCAGAATAGGATTAGGACCTCTCGGAACATTGAAAGTTACTTCCAATAAATTTAATTCAAGAACCCAATAAAGCTGAATTTCCCAAGATAGAGTGTAACCAGCAAATTATAAATCCTCAATAAAATAATCCTTAACCATATGCTATTAATGAAAACAACCAGCCGAATGTGGTTTGTGAAGGATTAGGCTGTGCCAGAAACTGTGGTGCGAAGTCACCCAAAGCTATCAACAAAACAGAGAAATCCTCTTGTTTTTTGGGAGTTTATGAGTTCGATTCATACTCGGTGCTCCATCCAAATCTCAAGTCGATGGCTCCAACGTGAACGTCCATTCAGGAACATTGTCAATAAGGTTATCTCTCAAAATTAATAGTGGAAGACAGTGTAAAAAATATGAGGAGTTAAAAAACGTCCATCCCAGCAAAATGCTATTCTGAAAAAAATAAAAGACCAATGGGCTAAACAAGAGGCAACGTAGCAACACCTCCGACCGGCTATATATGCATATGAAAGCAACGTAAAATGAACACAGTTTTCATCCATACACGGCATTTTCCGCTTGAAAAAAGAAAATCGAATTCGTGTCTTGTTTAATAAGATGAAGAAAGCATGCACGGTGATCAAAATCTGTATTGAATTCACATTTTTCAAATCGTCTTTGCGTGAAATGTTTAGGCAGAACGATTTAATTATGAGGAAAGGCAAGGACGTGATAAACGATCAAAGGAAATTGGAACCCTGCAGAGGTTTGTACATGTGCATCTGCCTTTCAAAGAATTTGCCTTAGTAGAAACTCAAAGAAAGTCCCCAAATGCATCATTCACCGCTCTACAAGTAAAACTTATTGATATTCAAATCGATTGTTTTCAACTGAACGAAGGCGCTATATGAGAGTATTAGAAGATTTCATTTAGTTTCAAAGACGTAATTCGTCATGTGCAAAGTAAATGAAGCGCAAACTAGAAAGCTAAGAAGCACTGTATAGCTGTCTTGACCTGGTTAGATCTCATCAGCAGTATGCTTCCTTCAACCCAACTAGGGATCGAATTCGTGACCACACAGGTAGAAGACAATCATGCTATCTACACCACCACCCGGCAGCTGATCAGACCATTTTTCATTTTTCATTTACACTGATACAGCATGACTCATCTTTGCGATTTTGGTGAACGAACAAGTACCAGATTCTGTAGCATCTTGTGCATAACCGCTCGCCTGTACCTATGGGACTGGATACATTTGTCGCATATCTGATTGCGTTCTTAGAAACTAACCAACATGGATTAGGACAAGAAAAATTGTGATACAAGCGTGGTTTGTTTGCAGCTGTTTCCGTCAGATCGGTGCTCAACGCATCCCCTGGAATGTATTAGGCACGTTTTGATCGATTTAATGCAAGCCCTTAAACATACTTGGTTCACTAATTCTCCGCAACACGTGCACGACCACTTGAACTGTCTACACTCATACCACTCATGCCACATATTCAAATTCAGATACGAGCCACAAAGACTATACTGGTTCATCTCTATTCTTGTTTTTCGTTGAATTTAACGCTACCTATGATCATGAAGAATTGTAAACGAGATTTTTCACCACCCTGTGTTGTTCTCAATATGTTTTCTAGCCTTTTCAAAAACACTTTTAATCATTGCACTTTGCCCTAAGAGTAAATTGATCAATAAAGCATATCTTTATGTATTGTATTTGTATTGTATTGTATTTGTAACTTGTGTAAGCATATATGCTTACATTTCAGTATATACGAGATATGAGCAAAATGTTTCTGCTTATACAGTACANAGGATAAACGTGAGGTGAAGCGATCGCAACTCACGGAACCGAATATCAACACAGCCGAGTACCGTTTACACAAGTCATAAGGGCCGCTATACTCGGACTGTGAGGATGGAACTCAGCCGGTGTAACTGGACGGCAATGATTTTCTACGAATAAAAATGTAGTTTGAAAAAGAAGCAGAGTGATGATCGTTTTAGGGCTGTCTTTGGTGATGACACGCCTTCAAGAAGCCCTGTGTTTGAGTGATTTGTGAAATTCAAGGATGGCATGCTGCCCCTGGACGATGACATATCTTGTGGCCTACCTGAAGAAGCCACCACAGCGGACAACATTGCTTCTGTGCACGCGATTGTGGAGGAGGTTGCGCGGGTGACAGTGGCACAGTTTTTGAAAGCCATCAGGATCTCATTGAGACTGGTATGCGCAATCCTGCATGATAAGTTTGGCCGCAGAAAGGTTTTCGCACGTTGTGCATTTCAGTAGTTTTGTCAGGAACAGAAAGTAGTTCTGGTGCACTCGTGTTGTACCATGCTTGCCAGGTTTGGTATTGGACGTTCCAATGCAGTTTGAGAGATTATCTGTGATGATTAGAACTGGGTGTACAGTTTCTACTCAGAAACCAAGCAAAAATCGGCTCGTTGGTGGGACGCCGCCTCAAAACGTCCGACACCAGCGCAATGCGGCAAAGCAGATGGTGACTGTGTTTATGGTCAAAACCATTTATGTATCCAATGTACCGCTCGTACAGCTAAGCACGATCACCGGAGACTGGTACCTTACCCACTGTCTGCCAAACATGCTGTAAGCTATTGCCAGGTGTCGTTCGGTGACTCGATCACGAGGAACCCTGTTACATCAAGACGATTTTCGGGCGTCCCGGAGGTTGGTCATTTACTCTACATTTGAGATCTGGCTCGTGTAACATTTCGTATTTCCAAATGTTAAGCATATGATGCGAAGAATGCAATCGAGTCACTGGCATTGTCGAAATGTTTCACCAAGTGGCTTGAG